ATTATTATTAGTTTATTTAATGCACAAAAATAATAATTTTTATTAATTAATAATTATATTGTATAATCAAATGATTCGGCGACCAGATGTTTGATCCTAAAAAATACCTGATTAACAATTCTGCAGATCTCCCCGATCTTCCTGACCACACTTTGATGCAACAGTAAGTATTCAGGCAGCTCCTGGTCTTCCTCCTTCTTCTCCATCTCCTCTGCATTGTCATCTTTTTTTTCAGTGAAGCTTCTGCAAAACACAAACAAATCCAAACAAACATTTAAGTTCAAATGATCGCTCATGATAAGGAAGGTACCGACTGCTGGGCAGGTGGTTGGATTTTTCCAGAGATAGTCCCATCAAGATTTCAAGGATTAGGATTTTATCAATAAGGTTGCAACCGTATTCATCTCCATGGAAGCTTAGCACATTCAAATAGCCTGAACCATGTTTATACTCTTTTAATCACATGTAGTATATATAGATTTTTTAAAATTTTGCATCTCCAGACAGAAACTTGTTTAGAGGAGCTTTATCATTAATTAGGACTTCAGTGTGTGACTGCCCATCCTTGCCCTCATTCAAAGCAGCTCTTAGATTAATTTCTGAAAATTACAAAAATGTATAAAAGCGTCTTAGTGGAACTGAACTGTTGTAATGAAGTTTGCCATAAGATGGCGCCTCCAACACAGACAACGCCTCACGTAGATGTTTTCTCTACCAGTAAGGCAGAGATGTTCAGTCATGGCCTTTTAGTGACTTATTTTGAAAATACAGATGTTGTGCTTGTTCCTGTTCCTGTTCGTGTGACGTAATCTTTATTGACTCTGGAGCAGCTCCGGCGTCCGGCAAAAATAGGATCGGATCTAATTCTGGCGGATCGCCCTCTGCTTACCGCTACGTGGAGCCAGTGTAAACATTCTCATTGATTATAACGTTTGCGTATTTGCTGCGGAGGTCGGACCGCATCTAGTGTAAATTAAGGGTGAGAGGAAAGAAAACCCGACAAATAAAATCACATTCCAAGTCAAATGAGAAGTTTTGTTTACAGAATTTCAAGGTAAATCTATGTGTTTAGTCTGCTTAGAGACACTGCCTGTCATGGATTTTAATACAAGTCACCGCTACAACATGTTGCACAAAGCTAAATATGAGAAGTTTACTGACGTTAACAGAGACTTTTTACCTGAACCATACAGGAATCTGACTTTAAGAAGAATTGTCATTGCACTTAAGCTCGCTAAAGTATGTGTTTATTTTTTGTTTGCTTCAAACGCCTTGTATTTGTATTTATTAAACAACAGTACTGTTGTACGTGAATTTGAGAATGAAACATGTTAAGTTACCGCACTGTAAGTTGGTTTAACAAACATTTATATACAGTATATACACACGCACAAACATTTTTAAAATTGGGTCTGTGGCCCTCTGGTAGTGTCAACATTTAAGATGCCCCTCCCAGCTCTACACGATGAGTTTGATCAGTAACTGACAGCAAAATGATCCAATCACAATGTTAAAGTGGGTGGGACCAACATCTTCAGGGCTTTCAGAAAGACCTTCTGTGGCAGTCCAGTGATTTTGTCAGTTATTTGTGTCCAAAGCAGTTATGGTGATCATTAACAATGTAGCTAGCTTGTTAGCATCGCTTTTTTCAAGGTGATTTTTGACAGAGAATAGAATTTAAAAGGTAAACCAACTCCAGCAGTGGAAGTGACAGAAAATAAAGGCCATGGAACCCTTCATCAACACCATTCATGGATGATTTCTTTCCCCCCTGTAAGAACAGAAATTATTGTGAAAATCTTAGTAAACACAGGTGCTGAGAGGACCGGCCCTGACCTGGAGTGAGAGTAGACCTTCACTCTGTCCTGGTGGATCCGAACAATCAGCCAAAAGTCGGGCATCTGAGGGGTCTGACCTTCCTGTTCGTCCAGGGTGGGACTCTCACACTCGGAGTCGCTGCTGCCCCCATCATAACCTTCAAACATCCAAACACCATTTTCAAAACCTGAGAACTGTCAACATTTATGTTCAGAAAATGTTCATTCACAAAACTCTGAATGAAACTAGAGAGGAGAAGAAGGCTCTGCAAAGAGTCATAAAAACTGCAGAGAGAATTGTGGGGACACAACTTCCCTCGATGGACTCTATTTATGCTCAGCGCTGTCCTCACTCCACCCAGCTCACTCCCTAAAAAAAGATGTCCATACAACCTGAGACACAGCAGTGTGGACAGTCTAATCACACACAGAACAAGGTTTTTTAACAGTTATTTCCAGGCTGCTCTTAGGCTGATGGCAAAACAAAGCCACTGAGAATGTGCAATAACTATGTGTAAATATTGTATGTCTAGCTTTTGTTGTGCCCCCCGTTCTTTTTTCCTTTAACTGTGTGTTTGGTGCTATTTGACATGTTTGACTCTGACTCTGAGAGCTCTGCACAAGAATTCCAATGTGATGGACTACTGGTTCATGCACAAGTGACAAATAAAGTTCTTTGAATCTTTGAAACTACTGACATTGTTTCATCATAATATTGTCCCATCTGTCCCTCCATGTCCATGTGGTGCCTCTCACTACACGGTACAGCATGGAAATCTGGTTATTTTAGCCAAGATCTCATATATATTTTCTCCACATACATTTAAAATCCTTGTGAAGGGACAGCTTTCGATGTTTCAAATTCCAGGTTTATTCCCGTCAATCCCCTAACTTCAATGGACAGTTTCCAACTCTAAAATCTGAGTGAATTATGGGACCCTGGTGAGAACTTACCCTGCATGTCTGAGTCCAGACTGCCCTGGCTGGAAACCACACTCTGGACACGGCTTGGTCTGAGTCTGCTGCTGCCTGAGGGAGACACGATCTCATCCAGTTCATGTAGTTTGCTTTTAGAATTTCACTTTTTTAATCAGAGCACAAAATGAAAACATATGACACAACCACAAAATAAATAAATAAATAAAACAAACCCTATCCTGCCTCCAGATGTGTTTGTACCTCTCGAATATTCTGTGATGTATAAACTTTGCTAACATCAAATCCTCTCACACAGGGTTTTCTTCTACAGTCCATGTCTGTGCAGCACGGTGTTAAATAAGCAGGTGTGTGTGGCGCTGTGTGATGGACTCACTGTGAGAGGCTGACTGAACGGACTCAGCCAGGCTGAAGCTGGACGCCGTCTTCGGAGGAGAGTTCGGATCTGCGCCACATTCAGTCTGAAGCTGAAGGGGATGACCTCTGTCGCCCGTCGCACTGACAGAGGCCTCTGCTTCTGCTGGTTCACTGGAATCTGCTTCAGCAGAACCCTCGGCGAGAAGACCGCTGGACTTCCTGCTGTCGCTCTGCAGGCGGACAGAAATCCTGGTAAAAGTGGTTTTGTCGCAGCTAATGATTCTTTTGGTGAAACATTATCTGCCTGGCGCCTTTTGGAAGCAGGGGATAAATGTGACTTAGTAAGATCATAGATGGCGTCTGGCTGCACCTCTGCTTCGGTCTCCAGCATCGCAGCCTCTCCAGGGGTCCCAGCATGGCAGGGGCCGGGGTGATGTTCTGCAGCACTCTCCGACAGCCTTTTGGCTGCCTGGATCCTCTGAGGGTGAAGTCTGCTCAGGGACAAATAATAGAAGTTGTCCTGTTCGGCATTCAGACTGTAGCCAGAGAAGGATATCCTGCGGAACTCCTGCAGAATCAGAAAACATCCCATCATGCATCTGAGCAGTGATATCAGCTGGTCGCTCTGGGACAGAGAAGTCTTACACATATTGTATATAAGTTTTATATTTGTAACATGAAGGGGCAGCTGGTTTCTGTGGGATAAATCTTGTGCCAGCAGGAACTGAATTTGAATTTCTCAGATTGAATCTGAATGTGCRTAATTTGAAATTGAATGTATTGGTTTGAAAATGAATTTTATTAAATTGAAACTGAATTAAAAATTTTGTAACTGAATTATTAATTTGCTTTGAAACTGTATTTTGGTTTATTAAGAATTCAGTTTGACTACTTTTACTTTCAGTTCCATAATTCAGATTTTGTGTCACACATCCTGGTCCTTGAGAAAGCCAGGCAGAGTAATCAAACACAGATCCACAGATTTATGTTTCACTTTGGTGAAGTTTCCCTTCTGTAATGTAACAGAGTTGATGCGATCCACCGTAAAAGTGACAAAAAACAAAGAAGGAAAACAAAGTTATTTTATTGCAGTGATCAATCTTACCTATAGAAAATGTTACATTTACATCCCGTCATGGATCAGTCAGCAGCAGCATCTGATCACAATGTGATCCACGATGTGATGTAAATGTAACATTTTATACATATAGGTAAAATTAATCACTGCAATAAAATTGCAACAGTGTGCTTCTGTGTGCTTCTGAATAAATGAAAATGATTTAACAAAGTTGTTTATACTTTTAGCAGCTCTTTTTATTCCACAGCTGACCTGCTAAAAATGACAGATTTTCTTTTCTGGATCTCTGACAGACGGACTTCAATCTCTGAACTCGTAAAGTTCTTCTTTTTAGTTTTCGCTGTCATTTTCATGAATGAACACTTGTATCCGAGGTAGGAAACATAGCCTTATACTGTGTTTTTGGGGTGGTAATTATGCTAATCTCCTCTCGCGTGCACGAGCAGCTGGATAGAATAGGTGGAATTTACGCAGCTCATTTACACACTTTTCCTGAAGATAGAAGAGTTTGTTGAATCTGATGTGACATGTTCGTACGAACCTTTTGTACGAACAAAAGTAAGAGAAATTTAGGATAAGAATACGAACAAGTTCTTGCATGAGGCCCAATGTGAGCAATTCAAATTCAATTCCTGCTGGCACAAGATTTATCACACAGATTCCACAGTTAAGAAGCTACAACTGAAAAGACCTGATCACCTGGACCAGCCTGGACCTCGAGACCACCAAAAGCAAATAATCATTAAATCTAAAAGACACAGGGCTGCAAGAGTTACAAACCAAAACAAAACAAACAAACAAACAAAAAAACATAGAGTGATGGTTGGTCAGACTCTAGTTTGGATGCAGACTCTTGCCTCTATCTTCACATTCTGTGCTCTATAAATGATGTCACAGCTGATAAGGTACTAACTACTAATAACTATTAGACAGAATATCACTTCTATGTTGACTGGACTTTCATTTTAGTTTTGACTTCGTGTGTGTTCTTGCCTCTTTGAATTTCTCCAGAGACTGTTCGGGCCCGAAGACAAACTGAAGCGGGACGTCTTCACAGTGGCAGTGCGGTCTGCCGCTGGAGCGGAAAACGTGTTCCGCCACTTTCTGCAGCGTGGCCGAGCCGATGACCCGAGAGTGACGCAACGCAGAAACGATCTCGTCCTCCAGCAGCCAGCGAATCTACATCACACAGAGAACCAAGAAAAAAAGTTAAATCATCCCCGTTTCAAAGCAGTTTTAACAAAAAGTACAAAGAGTTGAAACACAACCAACTAAAGCCTGCAGGTGACAGGTATTAAGCTCAACATGCGACACATAAACATCACTGACTTCCTTTAACGTTGTAGACATTTCCTCTGAGCTGTAATTACACAACCTTGAAAACATTCATAGTTCATGAACTCTCCAACATTTTGTCATGATCCAAATACAACATTTAAGGATTTTACTGGGGTTTTACGAGACAGAGCAACAGGAAAATGATACAAATCTGAACTTATGGAAGAGGCTAAACACAGAACCCAAAACACAGAACCCAAAACACAGAACGTGATAAAATTTGGAAAGTTTGAGTTATGAAGACTTGTTTTTAGTCTCTGTATAACTGATACATTTTGATTATGAGGTGAAAACTGTAGCGATCGTATTCGTTCCCACAGGGCTCACCTCATCCATCGTGGCCAGAATCGCTAATTTGTGTGGAAGCGGGAGTTTGGACAGCTGATCACCACACACCCTGTTGGGGGGGAGGGACAAGTCAAGTTCAGCAGAACAGTTCAGGGGTGTCAGATTCACGTGACAGAGACGTGCGCTGAACAAACCCACCCGTCGCCGTCAGGACCTTTCAGAACGTCCATCACCGTCATCAGCTCGTCGTCGGAGCGATAGGAGGAGGGCTGAGCTGGAGAACGGTTCAGAGACACGCTGCTCTCTGAGGTGTACCTGCACACACACACGTCACATGACGAGGACTGTGGTCCGGGGTCAGACCGCAAGAACGCTCTGTGTCGTTGCTGAATATTAGCTCGCGTTCCTGAGTTTGACATCATAATGCCGACAACAACACCCGTTTCCTTCATCATCTCAAACACTGTAATTAAACTTACACAATTCTTCTGATTGGTCAATAATATTTTTGGGACAGAGAGTTAAACGTGTCTCACTTAAGAAACACATCAAGTTATTTGATATTTTGATACTAAGCATGTTGATAGTTTTAACATATTGAGCCAGATTATTTCTTTTCGTCAAATAATCTGTCCCGCCAGGATTTCCTTGACATTTTTTGTCATTAGCCATGTTTACACAAACATAAGTAATCTGAGAAAACGCACCAATCAGAATATTCTGATCTGACTCAGCTTGATCAGAATGAATTTATAGTCTGAATGAGAGGGGTGGGTTTATGTCGATTGATAATCTGAATAGTGCGCATGTAAACACTTCATCTGATTATGTTATTCTGTTTGCTGAAAACTGACCTGATGTACTACCAGCTGGCTAGATGTTAATGTGTCAAGGATACAATTCTATTATAAACTTTGAAAGAGCTCAAAATTGTCCCATGTCTTGATGGTCGAAAGTGTAGAAACACAGATTTATTCCAGCTTTTGTTTATTTTAATGTTTATTTATGTTCATTATGGAAGTAAAACTTCTGCTGTGGATTTTTTAAGGAAAGTTTAGAACCCTGCACGTTGGTACTTTGATTCTGAATAAAAGCCTGGTGAAAACGCTCATCATGATCAAATTAATTGATTTTGTGCTCATATAAACGATACATTCAGGTTATTTAATCCCAATACACTCAGTCTGATCAAAGGATGTAAACATAGCTATTGTTGTGGCTCAGAACGTTTGATTTTGCAGCAGCTTCTGAGGAAACTGCCATCATAGTTTCCACATTTTGAAGCTTTATTAACACAGAGAGAAAACATGTTTCCACAAAAACAACTCAGAGTGTCCTTTTTTCAAAAGAAGCCCAGGATTCTCACAGAGGAAATGTGTTTCTGAACAACAACATCTACAAATAAAACTACTTTTTTCCCCTGTAAAGCTGCAGAGTCGTGGAGTTGTGTGAACACTTTGAATTACCTGTTATGATGGAAATCAGCCATGGCTTCAATCTCCAGAGAAAGAGTCAGAACGAACACATCCAATGTGACGGACAGCTCACTCAGATCCACAGACGGTAGCGTCGCAGCATTCTCCAGACAGGAAATGATCTCACCTGAAAAACGTTTTAACCGACATGAGCTCTGCAACTACACACCTTCTGCTTACACAGCACATTTTAAAACTTTTGTGTGAGAAATACAACTGACCCTTTTCCAAATTATACTTTATGTAGCATTTAGAACATACATAACCTAATGAAAAAGATAATGCTAAAAGTGCCAAATCAATGTACATATTTAAGAGAATAATAAAGGTTGGATTATTGAAAAAATATGCAACTGTTTAATAATGTATGTAGCCATTCAATTTGTTGTCTTAGAAAGATTTGATGTTTTTGTTTTGTTAACAGAAGATTATTATAGTTTGAATTTATACTTGAGAAAAAGGGGGAAGATATTACAAGATTTTTTCTTCTCTCTGCCGCCTTTCATTTCATTTTATTTGTATTTTATTTTATATTGTACATAGAATTAATTTTGTTTTTATGGAATGAATAAAGTTTTGAAATGATAAAATATAGATATACATCAATAGAATTCATTTCTTGTGCCTTAGTCTCTACCAAAAACTTTTTGATTTATTACATCAATATAACAATTTAGCAAATAAAGAAAATAAAGAAAATCTTCACTAAAAATTCAATTATTTGTCTCTGTTGCTCTTTCAACTCCAAAATCAAAGTTTACAGTGCTTTACTGTTTTTTCTCATGTAATTAAATAATTAATTAGAAACAAAACAAAATTCAACTATAACTCAAACACAATGTCATTAAAATGAAAAATGAAAAGGAGCAGAAAGAAGAAAAAAATCTTAAGTCTGCCCCCATTTAACAAGAATACATATACAGTATACATACATATATACAGTGTATGTATGTATTACATACATACATAAAGAATTCATACCCTAACGATCAGCAAAAAGAAAAGAAAAAATATATATTTGCAATTATTCAAACAGCAGCTTATATGAATGCTTATTATATGTTTTCATATTTTGTCAACGAGTCAGATTTTACCAATCTTCCAAATAACTTAACAGAACCAGCATTTTTATAATCACTAGCTAAGTTGTTCCACAGCTTTATTCCTTGACCTGAAGTACATGTCGCTCTCAAATTAATTCAAATTTTAGATTTAACAAACATTTCAAATTCTTTAAGATTATAAGTACTTTGCCTCTTGATGAAATTAGATTGAATATTCAAAGGTAATGTGTTTTTATGAGTCTTTTACATAAACAAAAAAGTTCTAAAAATAGTGTATTGTGTATAATCAACCAACTCATAAAATTTTAAAAACTTCAATTGATGAAATAATATATTCGATGAGTGATTATAATGTTTTCTGGCTATAATTCTTATGGCTCTTTTTTGCTAAATTAAAATAGAATTTGTATGTTTTACATGCCTTCCCCCAGACTTCACAATAAATGTGGAACAATTATTGCATTATATAGTGCAAACTGTGCTTTATCATTAAATAAATCCTTTATCTTATATAGTTCTGCAATGGATTTTGCTATTTTAGTTCTTGAATAATCTTTATTGCCAGTAGAAATAAAGTAAAAGACCACCTTCATAATAAACACAAATCGGGAAAAAAAACAGCAACAATTTTAGCCAAATGTTTGTTTTAACAGAACAGCTACTATTTCCTACCTGAGTGAACACCCCACCCTACCTTGTTCCAATCTAACAAAATTGCTGTCAAACGTTTGTGCTGCTTTTGTTTTGAAGGTGTTGAAACATTTTTCCAGAGGTCAGCAGAGTTGTCTGTATATGTGGGCGAGGGCAGCAAAGTCCAGCTATTTGCCTACATGCATTGTCCTGTAACTTAACTTGACTGAAAGTAATATTCTTACAAAGTGAAGCAAAAGGTGAAGTAGTCGAGTACTCACCCAGACATGTAGGGAGTGTCTGGATGGGCATGGAGCCGTGGCTGTTTTTCAAGTTGACAGAGCAGGTGATGTGAACGAACAGGGGGGGCATGTCCAGCTGAGGGACTTCAGGCTCCAGCAGGGAGTCTCCATCCAGGATGCTGAAGGAGTCCTGGTCCTGGTTGACAGTGTTGGAGTCTGTCAGGGAGCGGTCTTCGCCCTCGCCGTGGGAGCTGGAGTCTGAACGCTCCTCGTATTCCACCACCAGGTCCGTGTCGCTCTCTGACATGATGCAGCAGCCTGACATGTTCTCTGCGCCAGACGAGAAACAAACCATCATCATCACCAATATCTGAGCTTCTGGAAGCTCCACTGCTTTATGTGTTAAACACACATCAGTGACCATCATTTCCAAATATCTGGGCATATTCCTTCTTCAGAAGGAAATTGTATAAATTAATAAAAAAAGATATTTTCTCTTTGTGTTTCTAACAGTTTAGGACTGACTACATGCTGACCGTCTTCAGTTGCAGGCTCCGCCTCTGAAATCAGCTCTTCACTGGGTCTCCTCTCTGTCTCTCCATCTTCTGAGCTCACCTGAGTTCAGAAAGCACAAATGATAGAGATCAAACTGTATACATTATAAAGGATAAAAAAATGTCAAATGTAAATGAAACTCACATCTTTCTTGGTCGACGAGGGGCAGTAGAAGAAGTAGTGAGGATTGGAGGGGACGCTTTTAAAATACTGAAACATGATCTCCAGGAATTTGTCCTGTAAGGTGATCAGTAGCAAAGATCAGTGAAACTGGCTTGATTTAAATAAAAATATCCACAATCCTCAGTTTATTCCCATAATTCCTATAAAAGCTTTAATCCCTCGCTTAACTTCTCGTGGAAAGTTTCTGAAAATAAGTGTTTGGGTAAGTATTGATCAACACCACAAAGGTCAGGATACATGGTAACCAATGTTTGGGGTTAATGATGCTACAGTTTAATCACAATAAATTATCATTCTGACTCTAAGTTTCAGAGTTAAAAGTACAAAAACAGACGACAGAGTGAGTGAAGGAAAAGATGCTACATGAGGCAGAAGATTATGACTGGACTTGTAATGATTTTTTTAATGTGACAGATCAGACATGTCAAACGTCTCAAGCACAGTACTTTGTACTTTTACTGGTCTGAACAGACTCACCACAAACAGAACGCAGAAAAGAAAACATCTAGTAAACATATGCTCCATATGTCTTACAGGGCTTTAGGACTCAAAGCTGATTATAATTTGCATCCACAGAGATTACCTGAATGATTCTGTGCAGATCTGGATAGACTTCACACCGGGGCTGTGTCTGCAGCAGGCTCAGAGGAAACTCTGGCATCTTGGACTCATTCAGGTCTGATGGAGGTGTGGGAGCAGAGCGCCTGCCTCCAGATTCAGCCTCGCAGGACTCTTCTAGTTCAACGCTGCGAGAACCAACACATGGTTAATAATCCAGCTGACCACCCCACCGTGTGAGAACGCAACTTATTTTACTAAAAATCAAAACTGAAGCAACAAAGACTGTAAACATGTGATGGTCAGAACAGTTCAATAAAACCATTACTGTAAGAGAGGCTCAAACAACACTGCAGTAGTTCTGATGGGAGTGACTTGTATCACACTTTGTGTGTGTGTGTGTGTGTGTAACTGGTTTTTGTTACTGTTTTAGTACCACCTGGTATGAACACCTACTGTACCTTGTTTAACCAGTAGATCTTTTGGAGATCAAAGACCAGTCCTAATATGATGAAACACTATTTTTTAGGTTAAGGGTTAGGGCTAGTGTGAGATTAGGTTAGGGTTAGTAATATACTGGGTTGGGGTGGGTTAGGTTTAGGACAGGGCTATTCAACTAGTGGCCCGCAGGCCACATCCGGCCCACGGGTGACCGCGGTCTGGCCCGTCAATCATTAATCTCATAAGCCCAAACCCTCGGTTTTCTACATTAATTATTAGACGTTTTTTAGTTAGACAAAGACATGTGGTAACTACAGAAACATCAGAATCTAGAAGCTGTATAGATATATGTATATGTGTATATATAT